GACTCAATGGACATGAGTTTGACTAAACTCCAGGAATTGGTGATGGACAGGGAAGCCTGGCCTTCTGTAGTCCATGGAGCCGCAAAGCGCCGGACATGACTCAGCGACTGAACTGAACAAACATGGGGGTGGGGTGCCTATGCCCGGGACTCAGCCGTTTGTGGCAGTGGAGGGGAAGGAGGGGGCTGCTCTGCCCCAGGAACCCCATGGCACCGAGGAGACTGTAAGATGCAGCTGGCATGAGAAACCGAGAAACAGCTCAGAACACTGGATCACAGGCACTGTGAGTCAGAGCAGGGTGAGTTAGGGTCTCACCTGCAAGTGATGGAAACTCCACACAAACCAGCTTAAGCTCAAGAAGGGAGTTGATGGGATCCAGTGACTGAAGGTGCTGGGGGAGGGGGCTGGGCTCAGGTCTCTGTCTCTCTCTACTCTTAACTCTGGTCTCTACTACAGCCTCAGGCCCAAGCAGGTCTTCTCAAGATGGCCCCAGAGCTCCACGCTGACACTCTACCAACCCCAAGTGTGTGGACATTCCTGTAATTCAGTCTCCTTGGCTCTGATTGGGTCTTCCACAAGTCCCTCACTCTGTGAGGAGCATCTGAGGTTTTGATTGGCCAGAAATGTGACTCAGCCCACCCCTCTATCTGCAGTGGAGTCACTTCTGCAGGCCTTCCCCCCCCCCCGACCCCCATCAAGACCACCAAGGCTAAGCATTGCTTCCCCAAGGAAAAGGAAGACAGATGGCTGTTACCAAGGTCAAGCCCAGATGCTGGACAAGCAGAATCATCCGATGTGCGCCATGGGTGAAGTCAGAGAGGAGAGCGGTGGAATTTTGGCCCCACCTAGATGGCCGTCACTCGGTCAGCACATCTGTCCTCCGGTTGCTATGGGTGTTGGCTGCTAATAGCTCACAGCTGGACTCCTTTCAGAGACCTGCCCTCTGCTGAAGGGAACTGACCGCTGACTAGCCGAGATGCTTAGAATGTAATACTCCCACTGGGAGCAAACCTGCAACTAATGATCACGTGACACAGGTCCAAGAGGCCGGAATCCTTGCCCGAGGGCACAGCCATGTGGGGGTGAGACTTCAGTGGAGCCCGCTCCCCGCTCCATAAGCCACTTGCCCACAGGTCCCCATCTTACCCAGCTTCTAGGACACCAGCCTACCCTGGATCCCTGAGTGGCACAGCCTCACCACACGGCTGCCCTCCTGGGTACCACATTCTTCCCTGGGAGGGGCCGACTGTAAAAGGACTGTCTTGTCAGGCTCAGAGGAAGGTGGGGCTGGGCATCTTGAGGTCTTTCAAACTTAAACTCCTGCTGTGAACTCATCCCAATTCTCCCCACGTCTGCTCCAGGGCCTAGTTCCTTCCACCCTCTCCATGTAATTCCCACGTTCTCTCCGATTCAGGTTTGATTAACAGAAGGTTATAAACAAGTCCCAGAATAAAGGAAAACCGGCATCTCCTCAGGGCAGCCACTGTCTACCGGCAGATGGCAAATTGCTCTGCCTCCAATATTTTTTTGGTTTTTATTTATGTATGGGTAAACAGGACTAAATTAATTAAAAATTTTTTTTTCCATCCTCAGCTCTTGGATGAGTGGGGCGTCTCTTAGCCCCACAGTGAATTGGTTACCAGGTTTCAACAAGGGATTTGTCTTCGCAATTACAGTTCATTAATGGATTTACAAGGGAGGGAATATGTGGTGGTCTATAGCCCCAGTAAGAAGATTGTTTAGCATGTCTCTTCTTTTAATTAACTGATTGCCTCCCGGACCGATGCTCTGTGGGAAAAAAAAAATGGAGAGAAAAAGACCCAATTGCCCCATCTATTCCAGATACAAATGCAATTAATACAGGAGGAGACAGGAGCAGCTCAGGGGAGTCCCACCAACTGAGGTGCTTCACCCTTTCTTCGGAGCTGGCTGCCTCCTGGCTGGGAGGATTGGTCATAGGAGCCTGACTGGTATCATGTGTGTTAGCCTAGGGAGGGGTCACTCTGTTCATGGGAATGAAGTCTCTGGGGGTTTGGGTCTGGGCAGCCATGGTCCTTTACTGTGCTACTATTTCTTGGGCACCGTGTGCTGGGGCTTTACATGGATTTTCTAACTTTACAGTTACTGTTTTACAGACCCATTGTATAGATAGAGGAAATAGGGCAGGCACATCTGTTCAGGGACTGATGAGGTGCAGAGAGGGTGGGTGATGGATGTTTTGTAGGTTTTAAAGGAGATTTCCTGGTGGCTCAGGCAGTGAAGAGTCTGCCTGCAGTGCAAGAGAGATGAGGGTTCAATCCCTGGGTTGGGAAGATGCCCTGGAGAAGGGAATGGCAACCCAGTCTGGTAGTCTTGTTTGGAGAATGCCAAGGACAGAGGAGCCTGGCCGGCGACAGTCCATGGGGTTGCAACGAGTCAGACATGACCCCACATGTGTGGGTGTGACTACACACCCCAAAGGAGCTTCAGAAACAGGTGGGGTTTGCCCAGAGCACCCAAGTTGGAGCTGGGATTGGAAGCCAGGCCTGTTGGCTCTAAGTTTCTGCTATTTCTACTCCCTCTTTGCTGCCACCAAGTGAACTTGACTCAGTTTCCCCATCTGTGAAATGGGCTCTGGAGCCCAGGTAAGATGAATGTGAAGGCTGTCCTGGGCTGCCATGTGCTGTGTTCCAAAGAAAGGAGTGGAGCCTGGAGCAGCAGGTGTGGGGAGGGCCTCCCAGGACCAGGAAGGAGGGTCCTCTAGTTCCTGGTACTGGGAGGACGGTGGAGGTCTGATCAGAGAGGGCTGGTTTTGTGGGAAGACTTTAGACTTCCCTTTTCAAAGGGTCTGGAGGGGGTGTGACTCCCTCCAACAGCTGAACCCCTCTCCTCCTAACCCCTCACTCTGAAATGTGTTTTCGAGGGTCCCCGGGCACCATCTCTGCTCCTCCTGGCCTTAGCTGTTGGAGGTGTTACCATACCAGTGGGTGGCAGCCCAGACCTGGCTGTTAGGGTGGACTGGGGGCTGAGTAAAGGCAACCCAAGGAAGGACTGTCTGTTTCCCACTCTCTAGTTCCTATTTGCAAATATCCAAGTTTTTGTCCCCAGAGTAGGAGTAAATGTTTCTAAGTCAAACCATCCAGGAAGAACTCCAACCTCGTAATGGGAAGGAATATAGACTGCAAAGGAGGGGTGGAGAGTGAGCTAATCGTTGACTTGCTATGACTCTATGGGACCTGAAAGGAGGTGAGACTCGAGTGGTCAGAGCAACAGAGCCGATGACCCACAGTGTAGCCAGCGGCAGGGGGCTGCAGGACCAGCCCTCGAGCCCCGGGGTGCGCCTGGAGAAGCGTGGGATTCAGGTGGGGACTCCACATGCACTGCATCACACTGCTCCTAGGATCCCAGGGCCAAGGGCTCAGCATCTTTTGTAGCAAGCAGTCACCTGGCAGCCACACTGGTCACCTGAGGCAGCCTCGGGGTACCTGACTGCCTGGAGAAACTGCTTGGCATCAGGGGCTTCTTAGGCTTTGTGGTTGGCATACTCAGCAGGATACCCAGGGACGCCGGGGGCTTGTCCCTCCCAACACACAGACAGTCATGGCCTGGGCAGGGCAGGTGGTGCTGGGGCCCCAGAGAGAACATGGACCCCACAGCGGGGTCCCAGCACTGTCCCCTATGTGCTGTGTTGTTCTGGGCACGTTGGTGCCCCTTTGGGTCCCAGTTTGCTCACCTAGGAAGTGGGGAGAATGAGTCCCCCCTGGCTGGGGTGTGAAGACTGAAAGGAGATAGTGTGTGAACACCGAGCCCAGGGTGAGGGCCCCGAGGGGCTCAAGACATAAGCTGCATCTTCGTCGGGATTTGGGTCCAGGAGGCCTGTCTCAGTCACAGGTCTCCCCCGAGGGCCTCAAGGAGGAAGCGCATCTCCTCACATCTACAACAGTCCTTTCCTGGGACTTCCCTGGTGGTCCAGTGGTTAAGATCTGCACTCGCAGTGCAGGAGATGTGGGTTCAGTCCCTGGTCAGGGAACCAAGATTTCACATGGCAAGAAAAAAAAAAAAAGAATGGTCCGTTCATCCCTCATTGAAAACCTGCTAAGAGGTCAGGGCACGTCCTCTCCCATGTCTTCCCCAGGTCCCAGGGCCTGGAGTGGATCCTTTCTGTCTGCCCTCCGCCCCCACCCTGCTTGTAAAGCACGAGTGGCTGCCCTACTCAGGGACGGGGCACACGGAGTCTGCAGGTGAGGGTCTAGAGTATGCACGAGGGCAGAAGTCTGGGAGGATGCTTCAGCACCCCAGGCTGGGGCCACAGAACAGCTGAGGGGCAAGAGAACTCCTGAGAACAATCAGGAGAGATGGGTCCTGATTGTCGCTAGTGTGACCAGCTAGCGGGCTGTCCGTGGAGCTGGGCCAGGTGCGCTGAGGCTCGGTGCTCGCCTTGCAGACTCCGGAAAGCTGGAGGTGGGAGGAGACGCTGGAATCACCCAGCTGCTCCCTCTCCAGGGGTCACCTAGTGTCAGTGCTGCTGCCCACTACCCCTCCGGGAGTCCCAGGCCCCGACCCAGGGATCCTAGAGTAGGGCTCACTCAGTCATGTCTGACTCTTTGTGACCTCATGGACTGTAGCCCCCACGTTTCTTCTGTCCATGGGATTTTCCCAGCAAGAATACTGGAGTGGGTTGCCATTCTCTTCTCCAGGGGATCTTCCTGACCCGGGGACCAAACCCGGGTCTCCTGCATTGCAGACAGATTCTTTACCATCTGAGCCGCCAGGGAAGCTCCAGGGATCCTAAATCTTCAAATGAATGGGGGTCCTGGGACCGGCATTTCAAGGAGACGCTGCCTCTCTCCAGGCCTGGGTGGAGACCTGCGAGTCCCTCCCGTTCTCTGAGGCTCCTCGTCCCTCTTTGAAGGGGGTCAGCGCTTCCTGCTTCCTCGGTTGCTGCCACTGAAGGCTCAGTGAGATACTGCCGTGGAATGGGCCACAGCCGGTGCTTGGCACGCAGTAGGCACTTTGTCAGCATGACTGATCCCGAAACTCCAGCACCAGTACGTGCTGAGGAACAAGCAGTCGTGTCAGCTGACGCACTGAGAGCTTCCCACGCTGAGTGTTGCATCCTCAGTACTTCGGGGCACAGGTACCGTTTTTGGTCCATTTGACAGAAAACATCAGTGAGGCTCAGAGAACAAGAGGTGCTGGCTGTGGAAGGCGAAGTGCCAGGCTGCCAACTCAGGCCTGTTTGCCTGGCATGGCCCACACGCCTCTTCCCTGTTAGGTGGAAAAACAGTGTCCCCGGAGCTGCCGTGTCTGTGCGGTTACTATGGCAGCCACCTCGGCCCCCGAGAGGGGAAGTGGAAAATAGGCCAGAGCAGTAATGAGGCTGCACCGTTCTGATCGGTCCCCTGATGGGATCTGGCTTCACAAGGCTTCTTCCCACATCAGAGGCAGCCCAGTGTCTGGGCCTGGATCAAAGGCCAGCCGTCTCCGAGCCCAGACGCTGGGCCCAGCTCAGGCCTCAGAAGGTCTCCCCTTGATCCTCCCCTAGTGAGTCATGCCGTCACTGGTGCCAGTCCCTGCCCGTGGCCTGAGGGTGTTGCTTGCTGCCCGAATCAGCAGTAAACAGAGGTCCGGAGGAGGGCTCATGCCCCAGACAACTCAACAAGACTGCCTGAGACTCTGCGCTGGGGCTCATGTGGCTCCCTTTCAAATGGCAGCTCGTGGAGGGCAAGAGGCTTTTCATGCGGCAAACCTGGGTTTGGCTCTGGGAGTCCACATGGGTTTCTGGTGCCCTGGCTCCTTCGATGGTCAAATGGGGATGACAATGTCCTTGTATCAGTGTTGATGCAAAGACTCGCCAGGTGATGAGGGCTCAGAGTGTGGTAGAAGGGACCTAAGCCCTGCCTCCTCCACATGCTGTGTGGCTCTGAGCATGTGTTTGACCCTTCTCAGCGTCTGTTTCCTCATCATCTTGTGGCAATGAAGTCAGAGGACAAGTCTTTGCTCAAACCTCATCTTCTCAGGGGGCTTCTCAGGCCACTGAACCCTGCCCCCCTACTCCCTCAACAATCTATATAATTTGTTTATGCATTATATTTTCTCTTTATTGTCTGCATCATTGGTGTGTCAGCCCCTCTAGCATGAGAGCAAGGATCTTTGTTTTGTTTTCTGGTGTACCCCAAGTACTAGAACAGTGTCCTGCCTGCAGTGGACGAAAGCTTGTTGAGTGACTACATATGGTCTCCCCGGGACAGGGCAGCTCCATCAGTGACCACCACTGTTTTCTCTCTGGCTCCCTCTCCCTCCCCTGGGCACACCTGCCCCCCGCCCCAGTAGCAGAGATGGGCCACATCTCCTGCCTGCTTGGCACACGGCACAGACGGGCACAGCTGCCCAGCCCCACACAGGAGCACATACGTTTATGTATCTGTGATTGCTGGTGTCTTCCCACCTCGACCCACCTGTGTATGTTAGTTGCTCTGCTGCTGCTGCTAAGTCGCTTCAGGCGTGTCCGACTCTGTGCGATCAGCCCACCAGACTCCGTCGTCCCTGAGATTCTCCAGGCAAGAACACTGCAGTGGGTTGCCATTTCCTTCTCCAATGCATGAAAGTGAAAAGTGAAAGGGAAGTCGCTCAGTCGTGTCCGACTCTTTGTGACCCCATGGGCTGTAAACTGCCAGGCTCCGCTGTCCATGGGATTCTCCAGGCAAGAATACTGGAGTGGTTGCCATTCCTTTCTCCAAGGGATTTTCCCAACCCAGGGATTGAACCAGGGTCGCCTCTACCCACCTGCTGGCCTTTATTTATTTACCAGTACTTTTTGAGTTCCGTTCAGTCAGTTCAGTTGCTCAGTCATGTCCGACTCTTTGCTGCAACCCCATGGATTGCAGCACACCAGGCTTCCCTGTCCATCACCAACTCCCGGAGCTTACCCAAACTCACGTCCATCGAGTCAGTGATGCCATCCAACCATCTCATCCTCTGTCACTTTTTGAGTACCTGCCCGTGTATCACATGACCCCACTGGGTACCACTAGGGGAGGAGGGTTGACAAAATTCCACTGGGACTAATGAGGCTCCAGGGAGCTGGTCCCCCTGAGAGGAGCTCACTGTCTAAGTGGGGGTGGTGGAGGGGGGTTGTTGGCACGCAGGTGAGAGGGGAGAGAGCAGCCTGGGGGGAGCTGATGGGGCACGAGGTGTGGGCTTCCTGGAGGAAGAGACTGCTGCACTTAGTGGGGAGGCTGGTGGAGGCCGGCGGGGGAGGTGGGATGTGTGTGCTGCTCCTGGAGGCCCTGGTAGACAGCAGGTCGGGGAAGGGAGGCAGCTGTCCTCTGGTCCTGGAGATGGAGCCCCTGGGCCTGGATAGACTGGGGTGCCTGAGCCGAGAGCCTAGCTCTGCAGCCTGTGGAAGCCTGGGCGCGCCTCCCCCAGGTGAGGTCAGGCCTCCTCTGCAGGGTGCTGGTGGGGGGGCTTGGGCCAGGCCAAGTTTGAGTAAATTTTCAGGAAGTCTCCTGAGATGCAGGGAGGGGAGTGGCTTGTCCCAGTCCCCCAGGGTTAATACTACGGAGCTCTGGGCTCCCAGGCTCCCTCTCTGTTGTAGGATTGTAGGACCCCCACCTGCCCACTGAAGTCGGGGTGGGTGGCTGCGGCGCCCACAGGACATCCTGGAGGACCAACGTGGACCAACCCGGCCTCCAGATTCCGGCCCCTCCCTGTCTTCTTCCATGTCTCCCTCCGGGATCCAGATCCTTCCTGAGAAACCAAAGTGAACCTGGCGGGACAGACGGTGCTCAGGGCTCACTGGGAAAGCCCAGATTAAACAGGGACTAAAGGAGAAGAGCTCTGCAGAGAGGGCCAGAGGATCAGGGAACACAAACAGAGCTGAAAGGAAAGTGCGCTCCTGGCTTCCTGTCCCCGATCTGCTTATACCAGGGGAGACACACCAGAAAATCCCACTCAGCAAAGGCTGCACCTCATAATTAATGCAAGAGGGAAACAGGACAGAACAGCAAAGGGCTCCTCCGGGGCACGTCCGCGGGTGTGCTGGTCACATGGGCTCTGTCCCTGGGCTTTCAGGACCCGTGTCACCCGCTCAGCATCTTGGGCCCGGGGGGAGGGTGAGCTGGGCGAGGAGGGGGAGTATGCACATGGGGGTTTGCTGGGACCCCCGCTAGTTAGTGCTGAGAGGAGCTCCCCGTGTCCTCCCCCTGCAGATGCAGAAACCAGAGAGCGAAAAGTTATGGAACCTTCCTTCTCTCCCAGCCCAGGATTTTCAGATCTGTCAGCCTCTTTCATGGCATCTGCAATGCACGGGATCTTGGAATTAGAGCATCTTTCACAGACTTACAGACGCTTTCACAGTCTTTGAATCCCAGGACCTGAGCATCTGGTCCCTTTCACAGAATCCTAGAATTCCGGAATCCCAGGAGCATTCAAGGACTCATGGGACAAGAGCCACAGAATTAAGGAGTCTCTGGAGAAAACCTGGAACCTCATCCCCAGCTTATTGGACCCTTGGAATCACAGCATCAATCGTGATAAACCTGGCATTGCAATACATACCCTGGAGTTAGAATCTTCGCACAGAAAGCAACCTTAGTCCAGCTCCCCCGGTAACAGAGGGAGCCTCTCTTTGCTGTCCTATAATTGTAAAGAAGGCGGGGCACCAGAGAACTGATGCCTTTGAACTGTGATTCCTGAGAGTCCCTTGAAACAGCAAGGAGACCAAACCAGTCAATCTTAAAGGAAATCAACCCTGAATACTCATTGGAAGGACTGATGCTAAAGTTGAAGCTCCAGAGTTTTGGTCACCTGATGTGAAGAGCTGACTCATTGAAAAAGTCCCTGATGCTGGGAAAGATTGAGGACAAGAGGAGAAGAGGGCATTAGAGGATGAAGTGGCTGGATGGCATCACTGATGCAATAGACATGAACTTGGGAAAACTTACAGAGATGGTGAGGGACAGGGAGGACTGGCATGCTGCAGTCCATGGGGTCACAGAGAGTCAGACATGACTGGGTGACTGAACGACGACAATTTGAACCCTTACAGGGGTGGGGAACTCACGACCTGGCAGGGGAGCCTGTTCCACGATCGGGTGCATCAGACTGCCGCCTCTTGAGTCGAAATCTGCTGTCACAGACCCACCCACCCCTGTGTCCACACTGTGTGCCTCCCACCCACCCGACCACCCCATCCTGCCCCCACAGAAAGCAAAGTGTGAAAACTCTTGGGCCAGAAACCATTGAATAAGCTGTTTTTTCCCTGGGAAAACATGTGGTCCAGCTTGTCCCTCAGGGTGAAAAGGTCTGTCTTCCTCCAGGGCAGAGCCTGGCACCAGTACATTAGGACATTCAACGCACATCCATTCACCAAGGCAGAGAGCCAGGTGATGAGAACTGAGATAAAAGAATGAGTGGAGAGGCTCAGCACGCCCTGTGAGGGTGTGAAAGAGGGGTGATACCCTTCCTGGGGTCAGGAGGATGCTCAGAGCCAGGGGTGGTAGATAAGGCTCCTCTGTGGGTCAGCTGAGCTGGTCAGAGTTATCCCAGCCCTGCCACTGACCACTGGGTGGTTTGGAATAAGTCACTCAGTGTCTCTGATACTCAGTTTCTCCATCAGTAAAATGGGCTAATGAAGTCCCCTCTGTGATCAGTACCCAGAAGACAGTGGACTCACTGAGGGTGCTCAGTGAGGGGCCCTGTTGGCACAGGGTTAAGTATGTTAGTTCCCTTCCCGCTCTCCATCTGCTCCTGGGTCTCAGGGGATGAGCACAATTCCTCCATGTGGAGAAGACGTGGAATGGCATTCCCGGGAGAGGGAACAGCCTGTGCAAAGGCCTGGGAGCCACGGCCTCGTCAAGAATACTTGGGGAGCAGCACATGTTCTTGGAGATTGGGGTGTAGGGGTGAAGCTGCAGGCATGGTCTGCGGGCAGCAGGACCCTGGATGCCCCTGTCCTGGAGTGGGGAGTGAGGGTGCTGGGAGTCGTGGCAGGAGGAGGTGCCCTCCTGGGAAGATGCCCCATCCTCCTTTCGTCCTCAGTGTGGCGACAGAGTCCAGCCGCCTGAACCCGAGTGCCAGTGCACAAGAGGGCCAGGAAAGCTGAGCAAACTGGAACATGTCAGGAACACTCGTCCT